CCGGAGGAGCCAGGGGGTGGGGGCGCAGCATGGCGGTCGGAGGAGCGAGAGGGGGGGCCACGCGGGTGGCACGGCAGGGCCGGAGGAGCCATGGAGGGGGAGGGTCAGTGCGGCCGGAGGAGGAGTCAAGGGGGCGTGGCCAGAGGAGGAGCCAAGGGGGGGCGCCTTTTTTATCTTTGCTCCCCCTCCTCTTAAAAGCTGGCTACGCCACTGCATTCAGTCCTTTGTTCAGAGCTTCAGTTTGTAGCAAGGTCCCTCCAGAGGTCAGAAGCAGGATTGAAGACAAAATGGAGGGGTTTCCAGGGCCTTTTATAGTCTCTCACTTGTGGAAGGACGCCCCTTTGTTCTCCTGTGCAAAATCACAGCAGCAAGATGGAGTTTGTAGCCACCTGGGCAAGTCACATGTCCAGGCACGACTCAGTTTGCAGGCGGCAGCCATTGGTCACATGCTGCCTTAAACATTCCCAGGAAAGCTCAGATGTGGATTGGCGTCTCCCAAAGTCCATTGTCAGTTCAGTGTTTCTTGGTTGGGCACGTCCTGAGAATAGTCCTTTCTCCAGAAGCTGACCAAATGCGTCACTGAGGCTACTTGGAATCAAATACATTTGAGCTACAAGTACAGAGCCAATATTCATAACTTCAAATACAAAATTGATACACGCATACAGACAGCATCATCATAACCAGCAAATCACCTTCCCATAGACCCCTCACACAACAACCTTGGCACAATATTTGCTGCAAATATAGACCAGCGGCTGCAACAATGATCTATAGTCACAGTTCATGTCAATAGCGTCACAGAGGAGAAGGGGTCCCCTGTGCTCCCCAACCTGCCCAGGGCCGAGAGGGCAGCTCCGCGTGGTCCTTCAGGCCTGGGCTGCCCCACAGCCTGCTCCCCCGGCAGCACCCAGCCTGGCCCCTGCACTAGGCTGGGGGGCTCTGGGCTGCTGGGTTCTCTCTGGGCGGGTGGAGGTCGGGCGCGTGGGCTCGGCTCAGACGTGGCTGTGCTCCTTGCTGCTCCCAGAGAAGCTGTGGACGGCCCCCGAGCTGCTGCAGCAGGGGCGCCTGCCCCCCCCGGGCATGCAGAAGGCGGATGTCTACAGCTTCAGCATCATCCTGCAGGAGATCGCCCTGCGCAACGGGCCCTTCTACATCGAGGGCATGGACCTGAGCCCCAAGGGTGAGTGGGCTGGGGCCCTAGGGACAGGGCGGTGGGGCCTGGACCCCAGAGCTCAGCGTGCAGGGGGACAGGGCTGGGGCCCAAGGGACGGGGCAGTGGGGCCTGGACCCCAGAGCTCAGCGTGCAGGGGGACAGGGCTGGGGCCCTAGGGACAGGGCAGGGTGAGCCTGGACCCCGAGGTGAGACGCTGCAGGGGGGGCAGGGCTGGGGCCCCAGGGACAGGGCAGTGGGGCCCGGACCCCAGGTGCGAGTTAAGGGGGGCAGGGCTGGGTCCCTAGGGATGGGGTGGCGGGGTCTGGACCCCAAGGTCAGAGTTCGGGGGGGCAGGGCTGGTCCCTAGGGATGGGGTGGCGGGGTCTGGACCCCAAGGTCAGAGTT